CTCGGACAGTCCCCGATAGCCTGCTGAAAGCTGTCTCCTGGAGAAGGTGGCGGAGTTCAAGTTGGAGCTCCGCGCTACAGGAGGACGATTGGCTTGGGCTGCTAAGGATAAGATTGTCGAGGTCCTCTACGAGGGTGCTCCGTTGATCTGGAGAGCACCTCGCTATCCAGTGATGGTCTTGGTGTCCATCGAGAGAGTGGTCCTCGACGATAGCGAGCTGACAGGCTTGCGTGTCTATGCTTTGGGCCAAGTTGGTCAAGGTCTGGGCGTCGCTAAGGTGGTCGGATCTCCAAGCCATCCGTCCCGGAGAGCTGAAGCCAGTGGAGGGCCGATTGGTCACCACGNNGCCGGACCAAGACGTCTGGACCGAAGAGGCGCATCAAGGAGATGCCGCTATGTGTCAGTGAAGCGGCCTTCTTTGAGAACCCTGCTTGGCTAAAGGTTGGCTTTGAGCTGCTACAGTGGTTGGCAACCTTTGGCCGAGACTACTTGCTACCCAAGCTGAAGCCGAACTTCGTGGTTTTTGAGAAGAAGATGGCCGAGTAGTGGCAGTCTCGGCCGCTATTCATGGAAGCCGGAGGGGTCCGATACCTATGCCCGATCTTATGGGGGCAGGGTGGCCAAGCTCCAGCTAAAATTTGCGGTGGCAGCCCGAGAAGAAAATCGCTACCACACCTTGGACGAGCGTGAGGTGGCTAGTTCCCTTCAGGATTGGCTAAAGGATCGCCGCTCCCTTGCAGAAGAGACGGCGACAGAGGTGGCCGATAAGCTCGCGGAGACTTGGCGGACAGGCGTCGTCAAGGTGGACCAGGCGCCGCCGATAGTCCTGGAGTCCTGAGGGGCAGGAGGCTAGCAGTGATAGTCATGAGGAGTCGGCTAAGATACCACGAGCGGAGGGCCGAAGGTCTAAGGAGCTCCCCGGAGCGATATTTAGATTGCACAGGTCGGGGGCTAATGGGTGTTGGATGGGGAGGAGGCGGGAATTTCGGAATTGTCAAGAATTCCCAGGCCTCCCCGATAAAACCGAGTACAACCCTGCTGGCGAGACCTGCCCAGCTTTCTCGGGAGATGGGAGGCGCTAGTGGTCGGGTCCAGCTATTCTAGTTGGGATATCCCGATCGACCAGGGGGGCAGCCAGGATATCGAAGGGGACGAGTGCCCCGATAACCTTGAGCCCGAGAAAGCCAGTCTTTGTAGGAGAGTTTTCGGTAGTCCATTTCCGATTTTGCTTCCCAAAACTAGGGTCTTCCCCGAAGGGCCCGATATGCTTTCCGATACCTGGCAACGGCCAGGGGAAACGGGGGTCGGGAGAAGAAGAAGACCCGAGAGGAGAGGAGAGAACTGACATGTTGCCTGCTACAGACATGTCTCTTATTAACATGGCAAGCTACTACTATTCTGGCGGGTTGTGCTGTGCATTGTCTTCTGCTATTCTATCAGGACATGGCTACTAGCTATTTAAGAGGAGAACGCTATGCACCGATAGCCACGACTTGATCAAAGAAAAGTTTTTGGAAAGGATTGAGGGGCGGGGGAGCGCCCTTTATAGAAAGTCTCCCCGATAAGTTTGACTTCGATTGGGCCTGGGACGCCCTAAAAAGTTCCCGCTATGTCGGACAACACCTCGGTGA